GCGGGACCCGAAATAACAACCCTTGGACAACTAGAGGCTTAGCCATCCAAGCTCTTGCGTTAGTCTCGTATCACACACTTTGTATTTCAAGCCGTCTTCTGTAATGAAATCAAATTTGTCGTTCAATCATTTGTACTAGACTATGCTATCGTAAGTATTGAAAAAACAGAAACGAATGTATATATTTATTGTCAATTGGCTACACCTGTACTAGCGTTAAATTTTTTTAATTGTGTAGGCAGTAGCAGTGGTGGTACCTTATTTTATCTGTGCCAGTTTAGCACAAACTGCGTGCTTAAACTGATACGACCACGTATAAGGTTTTTCAGAAAATCTTCCTTTAAAAGAACTACTTTAGAAAGATAATGACCATAACCTGAAACATCAGATCCTTAAAAATGCACCTCACATGTGAGAAGTGTCGCTGGTAAAAGAAAGAAGTGTTAGTGCTGGAGGAAGAGATAAGGATCGCGTGTGTACGAGGCCTGACGCGTGTACCGAAGAGCAAGATATTCTAAAGCTAAGCTATGTGGCGCTGCGAGCAAAAGGTCGGCCATATAAGGAAAAGACTTCTCTTAATTGGGTCCTTTTTCTCTCTGCAAGCCATTTGGATCAACAACTTGCTTCACGTTAGATTACGATGTTACGGGCAAAACAAATGTTCTAAAAGAATATCGCTCCTTATCTGTAACAGTGAATTGCAAACCTTAATCATAAGAGACAACAGTTAGCTCTTTGAGCTAGCAACAAAATCGACGTTCCCGGGTGCTACTACGGCAATTATTTTTATTTGTCGTTTTTAGCAAAAAAATAGTTAGGATTATGTAGGTCCTAATCTGCAGTGTGTGTAGGTGTCCTTATACATTTTTAATTCACCTTGGTCAATGAACCTTCCGCTCGATTTCTCCCTCATCCACTAGATTATCCTAAGCCCTTAAATTAAAAATTATTTGGCTTAAAGGCACGCCCTTAGAAAATGCACACTAGGCAGATGGTCCTAGGCCGAAAAATGATCTCTCTTTTTGTGGAGTTTTCATTTCCCCAAGAAAAATCGTTGCTTTGAGCTTTCGAATATTTTGTGACATAACACAGAACACTAAAGGGAAAAAGATTTACTTTTAGGCCTGTTACTTACAGTTAGTCTAAACTGATTGGATAACAGTAATCACTAGTAGATCAAAACAAAAGAATACACATGTTCTGGTGAACAATTGGCATTTGTCTGGATCATTCCTAGCTTGACATACTTCTAAAATAAGTGCTTGATTATACTTGTAAGAGTAGTCCAATATATCGTTATTAGCATTAGCAACACAATGTGGTTACTACCTATACATGTAAAAGTTTCACCTGCAATCGTCCTTACGGAATGATTCCCGCTTGAATGGCTTATTTTTCTAGTTTGATTTCTTGAGATGAAAGGAGTTCAGAAATTTTCTAGAAAGCATGGTTCAAAGATACGCATGACTGCCGGTGTCTGTGTAAGCCGACGATTATATGTGATCCTGTAGTAACTTGGCTGATCCTTGAGGTCATCGTAGCAACAAGACCCAGTGTTACCAGTTCCTGGCCAGTTATCACCAGTAGCGCCGATTCTGTATGGAATTTCCGTCCTTATTCCGCCAATATGCCTTCTTCCGTTTTCCTGGTCTTACGGGATATGAACTTGCTACTTCTTGCCTTATTCCGCAGTTTACGGTATTGCACCCGAAAAGGATTTTCATCCGGATCGAAGGCCACATGTAAATCTACATTGACGCGGATTTAGGACTATAGTTGAGCCAAGTAGTTAAGTAAGGTGATGTTTATGTGCATACGTTACATCACTCTATGCACTCCGCAGCAACTGCTTCCGAAGCAGACTCAGCGGTCTGGTACAGAATCTGCTGTCTCACCTTGACAGGCGGAGTCCGAGAACATCGGCGAAGAGAATATCATAATGACGTTGTTTTTGGTGCTGCTGATGTCAGCAAGTATATTGGAATAGGACGCGAACTAGGCCCAACGTCAAGCAACGTGCTCACTGTTGAGCCATTGTTGTAACCCGCCGAGTTGCAGTTGTGTATCCATTCGGTGACCTAATCGCCTCGGTTGATTCAAACATCACACGGCCCGAATGTCAAACCAGCCTCTCAGGATACCTAATGCCATAAGTGTGGGCCTATGTCCTTCCTACACACGCCTTGTCTGAAGCAACAATAATAGGAAATTAGGTTAAGTGGTGCAATCCATAGAGAATCGAAAAACATTCATTTATCGGCCAGATAAGGATAGAAGGCTAAATCTTGATGTACGGGAGAGTTGGATCTAAAAGGTGCAGAGACTCGCTACGCATTATGAGCAACAAGCAGAGTCAAGCCGAGCTCTCGTTTGTATACAAGTAAATTCTATTTCCTCCCTATCATCCAATAATTAAGGAGATAGTCTGATAGATACATATTGTAGATTTTGGCAAAGGTTATGTTTTTTCAGTAATTCACTGCATTTGTACTATTAAATAAATTCGTTGCGTTACAGTTTCCACTTAGTGTGTAGTTAAAAAATTTCGATTTGATATAAATAGTTTATAAATAACTACTTTCAAGTTACGGAACCCAGGCCATAGGTGGAACAATTATCAACAAAAGGGAGTTATAAGGAAGTTATAATTAGACATTCGATGTCGTCTATTACGGCCCATCGAATTGAGACACTTTCAAAAGTAAAGACCGTACAATGCATTAGCATATGTAATAGTTAAATTTAATTCTGGTACGCAAAGACTCGAGCGTGTTATACTAGGGTGATACATGGTCGTTTTCTGTTTTCGTGCTTGCTCCCCGGGCAAAGCGATACTTTGTAATACACATGCCGCATTGACTAGCTACTATCAGATAGCATACTAATTAATGATAAAGAGATTTCACGGGCCACATGCTTAGCAGCCCCCGAAATCTAGTACGAGACAGGGCTGAAAAGTACCACGTGACAGTGAGGCGTATTGAACGCTTTACAAGTATATACGAACTAAAACGCCTGTGACACTGGAAGCAAGCTAGGATTTGATTGTTTCCTCGTAACCTGGATTTACTAGCAAGCAAAGCAAATGCCAACTGCAACCGACAAGTATGATAACCATTTGGGCTTGCTGGGATCGCCTTAAACTTGTGCCGCAAGTTAAAAGTAGATGTACTTATGCTAGTTTCTTGTCTCGTCTCTAATTTGTGCGTTAATGGCTGTTTCTATTGTACTTAATTGATACTGCAAATATGATTTTGAAGAAGAAATAATTTTTACATGCAGCTGAAGATTTCAACTATACCGTTTCCGGCCAATTGGGTGCGGTAAACACTCGTCCAAGAGAAAGCATGTAAGAGGTCGCTCTCCCGACCTAGGAAAGGCGGTAGCTGCCCGCGGTTGCGGCCGATGCCTATAATATATACAATCACTTAATGCGACGTACGACCATAAACGGTTTACGTGTTTGGTCTGTCTGATGCGTTCGCGCATTCCTAAGCCCCACTTACGGCGTCTAGAACAGAACAACATAAGTTGCTGTTGTCTAACATATGCCCTGAGGGGTGCTAACTTCTTATGCAAACACATACACACAACAACTGTCGATATTCATCGACGTGACGTGCAGTTAAGCTGCAATGTCAGCTAAGGCTAAACGCTTGAATTCTCCAAACTTTATACGCAACGTATATAAGTACAGAAATGTTTGCAGTTATCTTTGTTTGTCGCTGTCCAATGGTCAAGTTACTATTGCAGATATCTAGGGTTAATCCATAACTTTCAGAAGGGCCCATGGGTTTGATGCGAATAAGCAAGATAAATGAATTAAGTTATCTGCATTTTATACAACGCACATACTGGTGCTGTCGTCGAAGAATGTAAGTGCTGGGCGCTGGACGGTTCCGATCAATCAGCCCCAAACAGATAGAAGATGGCGTATCACGACTAGAGCAGAAACACGCTTATTTCTGCTGTCAAATTGTTCTACTAATGTTAATCGAAATCTCGCCCCCTTCATTAGTAGTAGGGTTTTTCGTTGTTTTCTGATCTGATTTAGCCATTACGTCTGCACGATGATACAGTTGATTCAGCTATATAAACAATGATTTGAAGCTTCAAAAGTTTCTACGTCTGTCGCAGTACCTTCTGCATCGACTTCGGTCCTCGTAGAAACTATGAACCGAGGTCGAGTTATTGTTGCGTGCGTTGCTAGCTACAACACATATCTATATATAATTTTTTTTCTCGAGATGAATAAATGCACTTGGCATCACTAGGACTATTACGTTATTATGTAGATATGCATCTGCTATTTACAGCTTTATCAAGCTTGTTGTTACTGAAATTTTCTCAGATTGAACTGATCTTAAACATTTAGATAAAAAAAAAACATAAAACGCCATTTTAATACATTCGTTACTGTACATTATGGTGGTTGTGTTTAGTTTTTAACGAAACTATCATTACCGACCATAGGCATGTGGAATAGCCTTAGGAATGGTGCCGAATTAGGCGCCGATCGACGAATCTGGCAAATAACTAATTTTGACAAGAGCAAGGCCGATATGTTGAAATAAGATCATCTCATTCGTATGTTGAAAGGAAAACGAGACATTGGGGCAATGAAGGAGACTGTGATCCTAACGGGTTTCACTTTTCTCTCTAGCATCTGTGTCTCCTAAACGGTATAAAGTTCTACTGCTGATTCAAGAACATAATTAGAGAAGTTCCAGTAGATCAATAATGTAGGACATACGTTGCAACTAACGAGGCTCAGCCTGACAACTCTGATGATATCATTGGATTGAGTTACATGCGTTCAACGTAAATCGGCAAAATGTAAAGGACACAAATCGCTTATTTATTTTTACATATTTACTCTGGTCATGCTATTCGGTGTCATTATCGACAGTAACTTTAATGAAGTTCTCATCTTGACACAAGGTACGACAGGATGAACACGAGACGAGCGTTATATATATGGACAGCTTTTTTTCAGGTATTCTTACCGAGGTCTTTCCTGTGAAAATTCGCTTTATTTAAAATTGAAAACAAGCATAACGTCAGTGTTTTCAACCACACAACTTACTATTATTCATTTTATTTAACTTAAACATTCTACAAATTCAATTTAAGGAATAATTGTTTTTGATTTGAACAACAGACACTCGATTAGGTGCCTTCTGCAAATGAAAGGGTCAAATTAGCAATGTTATACACATTTTCACCTCAAAAGATGTATAGAATTTTTAAAGTAATTACAGTCTAATTTGTAAGCAAGCCAAGCTCCGTTGAAAGCTTTTTTGTGTCCGTTTACAGCTGTCCAAGCAGATCTAGAAGTTGCTCTTGGCTAACGTGGTACATTAAAGGTATTCCAAAAAAAACAATTGCCTACAGATAGTTCGCCAAGCAAATAGGGTTCGAGCGATTCCTTCAGCCACCGTGTGAGTATGGCAAGTACCGGTCGTGATGCGATCAATGTCATTCCCCTAGAATAGCGAAGTAATTAACTAAAAGGAAGCCTGCCGTATCACGTCGAGATTCAACACGTAACGGCGCTTCGAATAAACTGAATCTGATTGAAGATAGCTTTCTTGCAATCGAGTTGACCACTCTCGTTCCTACTACTTTTCACCATATTCCGTTTTAGCTTGCGCAAAGAAGACTGGGGGCGCCAGCAGCGTCGGCAACGGCGTCTGCTCCAAAGGGCGGTCTGCCCCCTGATCGAAGAAGACGTTCTGTGTCCCATGGTCGATCGGCCATTGCACCAACGAAAATTCGAATTGATGCGGCAAGAGAGCTGAACAACGCTAACAAAATATCCGGCCTAGGTCGCCTCGCTGACGTATAGAGCACGCTACTGAATAGTTTTTATGACCTGATTTCAGCTGCATGCACTTGTGCGCATATTATAGTATTATAATACATTTACTTCCAGATACACATAAAAGCATGCTTCTCAACAAGATTTATTTGGATTTATTTGGTCGCACAGTACAGTGATATCGGTTATATGTACCTATTTACCGAAATTATTTATATTTCACATTTTTCCTTTATAGCGCGCCTGATAGACCAAGTTATAGCTATTCATCCATGCACTGACTGACTAATTTTCCTAAATCTTAATAGGAATATAACATTTACGGCAACTTAAACTTGTCGTCTTCTGTAGTCAAATGCCCGCCGATGAAGCAGACACACACATTATCAGCCGATCTGAACTTGAAGCGAGATGTTATGTAGGGATGTTCCAACTAAATATGCCCCTTTTGAGCGCAGACAGGTACTGCGCGGGGCCAAAAAAGGGACCGACACGGTTTAGTCGGTTCCACTTTCCTTCGCCGTCGAAGAGTTTGTAACCAAAGTCGATGCTACCGCTGGTCTGTACCTCGTCTGAGCGACAGTACTGAACCTAACCTAGGGGACCGGGAGGGCACAAATCCCTTTGCTTTTCTACGAATGGGTACCCTTTCCTGCGCGGGTCTTTCCCACGGTAGGAAGAGAGTCTCCCCAGGCGCGCGGACCGGTAGCTACAGCGCGCAACTTGCGCGCGACCCCAAGCAAGCAGACTCCTGCAGTTTGGATGATGTTATCACTGAGAATACTCCCACGCCGTTGTTATTCCACAAACCCCAGCATCTCATCAGCAATAAGCCAATCAAGCAGTTCAACAAAACACCTTCTTCTTCCGTCATTTAGCAACGTCAATGCAAACCATCAGATTTCTACCAAGACAATACATGCCATCAACAAGTTACGTAGAGTTTGGTTCATTTCATAACGCCGATAATTAGTACAGAAACTTTGTAGCCTCGTGTAGCCAACGCAACAGCTTCTATCGACCCGCAACGGCGGTCAAATGTGGAGTGTTAAGGATGTGTAGAGCGGCAACGCCGGGACTACCGTTCGTCAATGCTAACAAATATCAGTATATATTTACTACTATCCGCCGTAGTTACAAGAAAAACAGTATTACCTATAAACTAAATCTGGATTAATAAATATGGATAGGCTGTTATGCTACTCGTCCATTTTAATTGATCTTCAATTGACGCCAATTCAACAAGACCGACCATTACGCGATCGAGCGACCATCTTGTATATGTGAGTACTATTACGCTTAACGTAAACTCTTGCAGATAAGTCATCGTATTTACGCCTGGAGATCTTGCAGTATTAGCAACCATCCATTGTTTCGAATACAATGGAGGTGTGTAGATCACAGCTCAATCATGGAAGATTGATTATCAAAGCGCATCATAGGCAGACCGAACATCTACCAAACAGTTATCTGAGACAGCCGCACTGGACTGAGGTGCAGCGCTCGACGGCGACTCTTACGTCAGCCGTTCGACGTACGTACGAAAATAAGAACCAAGTACCGGTTATTTTTCGCTTAGCTCTCCTATCTCGATGTCTCCGCGTAGAGAAGAGGTTCAACGTGCGTAATAATCATTCATCTTTGAGGTTTCTTTTCGATCGGGAAAGGCCAACTGTTTCAGGTATAACTATGCTTGGGTAGAACATACGCTGCATGCTACTGAGTAATTAACGGACAGATAACCTCGACATTTATTATGTATCTATGTATACAGTAGGTATTATCTCTTTTGCGCATCATGCATACAGAGGTGACTTAAAATGATTCCGTTTTAAAAACTTTTCTAATAATTAAATATTCTTCACTGGGATATAACATCCCTATTATAAGTTAAGTTTTGTCGAGGGTGACGACTGCTTACTGAAAACGAAACTATTTGCAGTTTGCTATTGTCCTTCTTTTTGTGTATTTTTAACGAGGCTGGCCGCGAAAGCGGTAATGTGCACCCGAAAAGCAAATAGTACGGGATATCCTGTAACACTGCAAACGCATTTGTGTCAAGTCCAAGGTTGGGGGGATGAAGCCCTGGAAATGCTTTGACATTACTTCCTTTCTGCCGGCACCCGTCACAGTGGTCTGCTACTGCAGCCTTGAATACCTTCGAAACCGCTGCTTAGCATAGCCACGGATCTAAGGTAGTTTTGGTCCGCGCCGAGAGCTTTGATATATGTCATGTCTCTCTGTGCCAATCATCCCTAATGGGCATTCCCCTATACGCCACCTGGAGACACGTTTGGTAAAGGCCCAGCAACCCCTGCCTTTTGCCTCGTGGAGACATCTTGCCTTATCCGCCGGTAAGGGCTCTCAAGGTCTGTTGTCTTAGTCATGCTGCACCGAATCCAAACGTTACGCCCCATTTGGATTAGCTGTTGCTATCCTAGAATATACTGGAAGGTACAGCCCGTCAGGCATTTCCTAGATATGAGCCATCGAACTTTTCATATGGACTTGCTACGCAGGAGCTGTCGCACATGCTCGACTGCAAGCATTAATTATATTCATTGCTTGTTTTCTGCGCCAGCCATTTTTTCCTATTTTTCAATTTATTTTTTTTCATTCAAAATTGCCATGGCAGAAGCTAACTAAAGAGATAATTTGTGCGATGGCAGTTTTTAAATGCACTTTCATTATGTCAACTTACAATGCTAGGAACATAGTAGTAATCGTAGGAGCTTCTATGGCGCCTCATGCATTGCTTATCATATGGTTTTTTTTCATGTGGAAAATGAGCCACGTGCGAGCTATAGGAATGAATAAGCGCTTGTGCCTTTTTGCAGTTTACTGTAAATAGGATAGTAAATTAGCCCACTTCGCCTCTTTCTCGACGACCTCCTTAGACAGATCGTCACACCTTACGACTGTTTTTACACCAGCTGATTTTTTTTAATACGTCGCCATAGAGAAGTGGCATGAAACGATGGACATTTCAGCAATTGCACGTTCTGAACAGAATACACAGGCGGATATATCTGTACAAAGTATGAGATAGTTGTATACAGATCGTAAATATATACCAGGTACAACTGGCGTTAGGAATTTTTCTTAGAAATGGCACACCCTATACGATTTAGCTGCCGCAGAACTGCAGCAAATAAACTTCTTTAACATAACATATATATATCCAGATCTTTGTGGTTGGAACTTAAAAATGTTTGTGCCATTCTACAATATAGTTTCGTTATCTAGTATTACTAAGCGTACGGTCGAATAGAAAATGTATATATCACGTGAGATATTTCAATGGTCTTTCCCAGTGAGCGCATATCAGGGATCTCCGACAGGGGAAAAGCACGACGAATTGTATTACGCGAGCAGGGCGCGTGGCAATCAATTACTCCTACTATATTTTGACTACGTATACTTCACTAACTTATAATCGTCGGTGCTATATAAAAAAAAAAAAAAAAGCTAGCCATTTTGGATTTTGCCATCCCTGTCCCATAACAAAGAAATCAATCCAGAGTCTAATTAGAAGAAATATTATTATGATCTGGTACACAGTTATGGCCAAAACATGTTTATAATACGACTGTAAAAATCGTGCGCGTTCATGAGTCACACATAAGAAAACCTGTCAATCAATATAATATCAACAAAAAAAAAAACAGATTTATGTAGTTGGCTGGAAGTGGACGCAGATCGTCTTTCCGAGGACGTCTGTGGCTTTGCTCCCAAGTGGAGCGTGTAATATAATTCAAGAGAATCAGAGAAAATTAACGTTTTTTTTTTTAATGTTATTGCAAGCTATATGCATATAAGCGGAAGGGTAACGACAGATGGTTTTGTATCGCAAGCGTAATTGATTTTTTACCACGGAACAATACAGCCAGAACAATAGAAACGAATCACTCGTTTTCGAACTTAAGCTAAGGAGCCTGCAAACGCCCGCAGTTTGCAGTTCCATACATTTTGTTTGCATAGACAATAAACCTAAGCTTATATCATTAATTATGCTGCACTCCCTTGTCTGCTAAATTCTATAATGGGATCTATGTGTACTTTGTGTCTAGAGTTGAATTTACTTGATCGTTACTAAATTGAAGTACAAGCGAGATATTTCATTTTACGATTTCCAGACAGACGCCTGTGAAGACAACAGCTATCGATCTTGTTGCTCGGTGTTCAGCGCATAAGGTTGCCAATAAGTGGGTTCCTACCGTAAGCGTCGATTGCGTTCTCGACTAAGCGTCAAACTGTTGTTTCAACTTATCTTATTAGGGTCCTGCACAGACTGGCCGCTTTGTATTGGCCTCGAACGCACGCTCTTATGCACACGGTACTTATCTTTCACTATCAAGGCTGAAGTTTTTTTCGGCGCGTATATAAAAATTGAAATAAGCCAAAATCGCAATTAGAATCACCAAAATTGCTCACCAACTTCGCGTGATAGCCCGAGTTCCTCGGACGTTGACCTGGCTGAAAGTGCCTGAGATCATCGTTAGTAAACTGTCCCATTTCTATATATATATATATATATATATATATATATATATGGGAAAATAATTTAAGAAGGTGGACGTGATGTACCATATTCCGAGGACCAATTGGCCCGAACATTTAACCTTATATTATTAGATAGGAGGAATTCATCAAAATTATGCCGGGAAAATCTTTGATCTGCCGTGCACACGATCGTCCCTGATACGCGCATTCTTTCCAACGGTAATTCCTCTCTCCGTTTCTGAAGAGTGTGACGAAACACGGCGGCGATAAATTAAAACCGTTCACGCTATTCGCAGTTTAGTTAACTGTTTGATGACTCCTTTAAGCCGTCGCTAAAAACCGCTGCTACTCTTTAATTTGTAAATTTCGCGGGCATAAGACGTCAGTCGTTATCGCGCATATATAGATGCTACTAAGATTTGACTTCTGTTTGTTTATCCGTCCCAAATCAATTCTACAAGGTGCTAAGGTCGGGTAAGTTGTTAGAACGGGGATTTTTGGCGAATAGCTAAGCTGCGCGCAAGATGAAGCCGATTGGATTCATACTTTCTCTAGAGAAGATTCGGTTTTGGATTTTTTGGCACGAATACGTCTAAGGGCTATACTGGTCTATATATTGTATGAAAATTCTTTCTAGTGACGAAATGGTAGCCGAATGTTTGCATGGGAATCCATAAAGAGTGTATCGTTCTCGATGCCAATGGACAGTTCTCGATGGTCTGAACCCAAATATCATATATATTTCTATATACCCAAATCTAAGTATTTAGGTTTAAAATGTGCCTGAAGAAGAAAAAAATTGTATGGTATTCTATGTAAGGAGAGTTCGACGCTAATTGATAGAGCACGGTGAGCTGAAAAAAATACATATTTGTATATCCAAGGAACGTATTTTGGCATGAAAATGGTCAAACATTCATTGGGAGATTCGTCTTGTTTCCGCAATAATGAGTTTCGAGTTCTTTTTGAGTGCCTTATTGAGCAAACCTCTAGTATGTATCAATGTAAAATTATAGAGAATGATATATTAAATGTTTTAGTTAAACAACTATTTTCAAAAAAATATTTTTTAAGCTGTTTTCTGAGGGAGAGATCAAAATAGCAGAAATATTTTTTTTCAAGCGAAATACCACTTTGTTTGAGCCAACTGTGTACATGAATAGGTAGATTTTGAGGAACCGAGTAAAAATGTCGTGCATCTTCTTATGACTAAAACGGATATCTGTGTAAAGAAAAAAATTGCAAAACAGAATGTGGAAGCTGTTTCGCTTAGGCAACGGTGAAATAATGTTTTTAAACGGGAGTCTACGTAGGAGATTGTTTTAATGTCAGTCGATCGATTTCGCTGAACTGAATAAAAATGCAATGTACCTATACCTCAAATTATTATTCGAAAACATTATTAAATATTTGTGTCTTCATTTTATCTATTATAAAAGAAAGGAAAGATAAATATCCAAGATGTCGTTCCGAGGCTTGAATTGACATCAAACAAAACACCGATATATATTCTTTTAAACCGCTTACTATAAAAAAGATAAAAGCCCTTAAACTATGGTGACGTTCCAAGGACAGTGTCAGTAGGTCAGCCGACTATATCTATGACATTTTTTAAAAGTCGCTCGAAGGCCGATGAGATTCACGTACGGCCCTGAGAGATTAGCGGACCGCCGACCCTACTCGTATGCTCTTTGGAGATTGAAGTTAATCAGCTCAAACTAAAAAAATATATAATTACATTGTAAAAATTTGCCAAAAGCCAACATATTACGAAAAAGGC